AGGACTTCTAAAAAAAATTTATTCTGGCGTTTTCCCCCTAAGTTTGTGGTAAAATAGTTAACTAAACCTGTTACTCTCTAAACAGACGACAGAAACACACAAAATCTGTTACACCCAGTAATACGCTAGGGAACAGAAAATAGACGTTGTTTTTCGATGGATGCCCATGGTATATTTACTTGGATATTGGACTACTATTGATTCGAATTTTGTTACATAGGGGGACTAGGTTGGACATAAAGTACACATCACGAACACGACCGTCAGTTAAACCGCCGTCTCGTCGAATCGATTGGAATGAGGGTGCCACTGTCTGACGCGAAGAGAGGAAAGTGACCGTTTAGGGTCGTCGGGTGTAGGAGGAGTCCGGCGGGTTGTGACTTCATCCTCGTGCATAACATGTTTTTACGACTCACTCAAAAGAAAGGTCCTTGAAGTTTCGCACCGATAGAAAAGGGAATCCGAGAGAGGATTTGACAATCATTCGTCACACACAACAGCATGAACCGTCCTGGTTGTAAACTCGTGTGTGTGTGGGTTGTGTGTGTGTGTGTGTGTGTCGTGTGTGTGTGTGTTGTGTGTGTGTGTGTGTGTGGTGTGGTGTGTGTGTGTGTGTGTGTGTGTGCCGTCGTCCGTGCGTGGTGTGTGCAATGACAGTTGACGTTTTCTTTTGCGTTTTGTGTGAATTGTCGTAACGAAAGCAGACGAACATAGTGGTTAAAACCGAAGACTTTTGTAGCATTGTTCGTCTAGCCGGTTTAAGTTTCAACAGTGGTCGGTTGTTTCAGTCACCTACAGTCAGACCGACTGCGTCGTCTATTTAGAAGAAGAAGAAAACTACTAAATAGTGTGACACAGAAGTGCGGTTCACCTTAACCCCAACGTTGGCACAGGGACCAATAAATTAGTTTCAGAACTACGACCCGAACGTAAAGAATTTACATTTAGGAGATCTTAGAGTAATTACCCCCTAAAGGAGAGACGAGCGAATAAAAAGAAAATATCAAGTTTTCACGGGTAGCCGATGGTTCACGTTAGTATAGTCTTTTGTTGTTTTTTTTTCTTTTTTTTTTTTGGGTGGTGTTTAACCACTCAAAACGTCGCCTTTTTCAAACGCGTGGATTTTTTCACTTCGTACAACATTCTGGTCAATATGGCCGGGGGAGAGACTCGAAGTCTCTGCAGAGGTATGTTCAGTAGGGACCCAAAAATCGTCTCCACCAACCTTTGAGCCCGAATACAAACTTTTACAGTTGTTGTTCGCCTCTCGTAAATCTTTTCGATATTGTTATTTACAAACCGTTGATTATCCGAACTACCGACAACTTAGTAAGCAAAAAACGATGTACCACCTTAAGTGGTAACAGACAGCGAAACCCATTTTGGAAGCGATCTCCGTTTACATTTACATTATCTACGACCGTCGAGTCGTTACAGGCCGACACAGGGTACCCGGTTCTCGAAAGTGGGGTTTAACGAGGGACACCCCTTAACGGGAGTCATAACTCATACCATTCGAGTGAAACCTATTTTCACAGGACGTGTTCATTGTACATTAACATTAGCTTTACATAATATTATTACGTTCCTTTTTATAGAGAAACAAAAACACGTGACAAAAATGACGAAATGTTGACTTCAGTACTCGCGTTAGATACTTGAAGACTATACACAGACCGATGCTTCGTGTCCCTTACTTTAGTTTTTGTGTCTTTGGGCGTCTTTTTGGTATATTAGACGTCGGTAAATGAAAATTTGGGTAATCTATGTTCATCCATCATTAATCCCGGGGCGTGGAATGTCTTTATTAAGCCACCGACCCTTTTATACATTCTCTAACTTTATATGTTTAGGGGTTAGTTTTTCACTAATAGGAGCTGGGGAGGGGGTTGGATAAAGTGATTTTAATTCGAAGTAAATTTGTCAAATTTTTGGAAAACATAATGCATTGGGGTTGGGTCTACGGTACAGACTTTAATTGCGGACTCGGTCATTTCTACTCGTTGATATACTTTATTAATCCCTGTGGGGAAATTGTTTCTCTGCATTTGACCCATCCTAGTGTTAGGAGCAGTGGGCTGCCATTATGTACGGCGCCCGGGGAGCAGTGTAGGGAACGGTGCCTTGCTCAGGGACACCTCGGTAGCACTTGGTCTTGCTGGGACTTGAACTGTTGACCTTCCAGTTGCCAAGCCAAGTCCCTATCGACTTCGCCACCACCGCCCGAATCGTTTTTATTATGATTTTTCTCTCTCTCTCTTTCAAAAAAATCAGCCACGTTATAAACCGACCAACAATAAGGCTTAAAATACACACCTGTTAATGACAGGTACAATTGCCACTGACTAATGAAACATTTGTCATCATTTTAAAAAAGGTACAACGTCCATGTACAATATGTTGGATTTCTTTGCATAGCTGTAGGAAAAAAAACGTTTTATTTCTCACTTGATTTGCTTTTTTCTCCTTTTCATTTGAATTTGATGTTGAGTTTTGTTGTCAATGTATGCCAACGTCTTGTTTTTGTAAATCCGCATTGAATAGTCAATAATTAATTAAATATACTTACAAAAAACACAACATATCTTCAAATGCATTTACAGGACGTTAACCCGTGCAGTCCAACATAACATAACCTCTTGTTGAATACATATTTATAGTAAGCTCAAACAGTAAGCTTACCTCCTCAGCTGCAAACTTCAAAACTGCTGTGAATGGTGTGCTGTCAGGGACACTTAATCTGTAACACAAAAATACATGAAAATAAAAATCCAGCCTTTAAAATGTAACCCAGATTTTTCAAGGAGAAATTGCTACCTGATATAAATTCTCAAGTTTAGGCAAGAGCCTGGGCTGCTTTCCTTTTTTATATCAAGGATTTACACGTTAGCTGACATCTCATGTTAACTTCTACGGAGAAGAGGAGAACAAAAAGGAACATTTCTAGCAGGGATAAATTAAATATATGATAACTGTCAGATGATTTAAGACACATTTCTAAATAGCTACATCATTTTAGTCTGATGCTTCTGCAATAAATCTTGCAGTGCAGCTTTTATGAAAATCATAATGAATGAGAGTGGAAGCTTCTCCCATTAAAGACCACAACCCTGCTTCAACTGACACTAAGTGGTTACTTGTTTGGATGTGACTGGGGGTTATTAAAAGTAAACTGTAATGGTGTGCTCAAGT